TTGCCCTTTCCGTGTATCTTCTAATTTTCTTAAAAATTATACCATCCAATATTCGTTTTCCATTCATATTCTTTCATCTAAATGTGGTAGAAACATGGATTCATTTCATATACAGAAAAGCAATAAGAAATAGACAAATATTTACGATTATATTCTCTCTTTCAACTTTCTTTTGCTCTCTTGATAAAAGGTTTAATGTGCCAAATATGCTCACGGTTTTCCATTCCTAACTTACTTTCAATCTTCCAATCAACCTAGTTTTATAACCAGAGTAAGCCGAGGTTTTTCTTGCACTCGTCCTCATATATATATATATATATATATATATGAATTAATGGAGTTTATTTTTAATTTAACATTTTTATTAATTAAAACGTTATTATAGAAGACACTTATTTTCCCTGTCGGAGGACACGTTCATCGTTAATATGAGTTCTCAAATGCACAGATAGACGTAATACACAATATTTAATGAATAAAAATAGGCTTCTATTTCAGTCCACTCTAAAAATAGGCGTCTATTTCAGTCCACTGACATTTGAAGTAATATATATATATATATATATATATATATACACTGTTTACATTATTCGAACTATTGTCCTCATCTTTGTCGCCATATTTTTTACAACGTTTCGGTCGTTGTACGCTCCGGCCTTCTTCTTCTTCTTTTTGGAATGTTGTACTGAACCCTTTATTTCGCTCGCTGGGGTAGACTGTTCTAGTTCCACGTGCCATGTCTAATGGATGTCAGTTATCAGTTATCTCCTGCTTAATTCCCCCTCTTCAAGTTTTCCACCGCCTTAACCGGGTATTGAACTCACACTCTTTGGGCCCTGTTACTGGATCTAACGCCTTTATCCAGTGTGCTATGTGTCCTTGAGGACATCCAGGTATGAATTTCTGCGTATTATAAACCTAATGTCTTCAGCAACGATTTTTAACAGTGCTCATATTGCAATTTTTGCTGTTATCAATTCATTTTTTTTCCAGAGCTCATATTGCAATTTCTTGTTGTTATTATTGCTTTTCTCTCGCACCCCTTATTACTGGTTCCCATATTGTATTCATTTCTATGCTTGGTCGGATCAGGAGATTTTTTAGCCTAGCATATGTGCTGATTCCTTAAGTTTGCGAACTTTCCATTGATGTTCTCTGTTTATAATTTCAACCTGACGCCACAGAGGACGGTGATCTCCCTTTTCTCTCCATATATGGCCAGCTACGCCTGATTTTTTCACTCCTCGTGTTACAGCTTTCTGGTGTTCTTGAAGCCTTACCTTAAGGCGCGGGGAGCCTGTCTCCCCTTTATATTTCTTTTCGCAGTTGCACGGGATAACGTACACACAGTCTTTGGTCATGTTCTCCTCTATGGGGGATCTTACTCGTGAGAGATATCTGCGAAGTGTCATCCAGCTTTGAAGTTTGTCCTGATGTTATATGGACCGCAGATCCTTTGTATTTTCTCTCATAACCCCTTCACATAAGGCAGGCAGATGAATTCCACGACGGAATACGTGAAGAGCGGCGCAATATCAAGCAATTGTTTGACTCTTCATTGTAGAGGCTTGTTGGTACAGTTGGTATGAGATTCGTCGCATATCGTAACTGGTCCGGGTGTCAATTCTCGGTAGTGGATCGCACTGCTAGTGATTCCCAAATATAGCCGTCCAGTACTTTCTGCATTTTGTTGCAGTTTCTTTTAGACTTGATGAATAACTTAATTATTATTATATCTAATCCCCCCTGAAGTTTTTTATATATATATGTGAGCCAAAGTATTGGTTAAACCGATACAAATTTTGCCAGGTGATCAAAGAAAAACGAAAAACCAATAAAACAAGAAAAAAAAGTAAAAAAAAAAACGGATCATAATCTAAGAAGAAAAGGCCAAAATATAGCCAAATGCCGGAACACTAATGAAGTGCACTATGTCTAAATTACAAAGACATAGCAATTTCGCTAACCCGGGACATGATTCAGAAAGGGATAAAGTTCGAAAAGCTATCGCCATCATCAGGCGACCAGAACACGGTAACGTGAAACTCGAGTAGCTGCCCGAACATGAGTTTAAAAATGATAACAAGACGCCCAAGGTGAAATGGAATATTTTAAAAACGGCCCCGACTTCTGTGCTTACCTGCCAGTCATGACCCATTGATAAAAAAATACTTTTTTAAATTTTTGTTTCTTCGTTTAGTTTAAATTAAACGTAGGTCATATTTGATTGATTGATCAAGGTAATCCCCACAAACCTTATAACTCCCACCCACTTTTTTTCGTAAAAAGAGGTTGTATTTTTTTGTATTTTTCTTTTAAATCTAAAGAAATCGTTCACTCGCCAGTAATTTAAAATTGCCTGATGAGATGCATTGATGTGCATTGAAACACTACTGCATTTGTGTAGCAATTTTTTTACATGTTTTCGTATAATATCCTACGATATATATATATATATATATATATATATATATATATATATATATATATATATATATATATATATATATCTGTCCTTTCAGTTGATTTCCATTAGGTTTCTTGTCACTTAGCTTTATTTCTTCACAAACTTGCCTCTGTCTTCTTCTTTTTTCCTTGCTATTTCCTCGTTATTACGTAGGCTTCTCTGTCAACACATAACATATATATGAAAGTGTCAGATATCAGAAATATACTACACACTGATCCTAAATGATATATGATTGTAGATTTCTTTTTAATCTATATACACATTTTAGACATGACCAAATGTAAAAGATAAATAACGAAATTTTCTCACGCTCGTCAATGCTGTTTTAAGAAATGCGTTTTATGTCGTCTATTCCTGTCCTTTTTAATCAATAAATAAATAACTCAGTTCTCTATGCCTTTCAGACCAATACAGATCATTTCATCCGAGCAATGACAACGGACCTGATTGCTATGTACACTTAGATTTCATCAGATCATAAATATTGTTGTGGAAGATCTGGGCGAAAATATACGACATCGAAAAGAAATACCAGGTCTTAACTTGAATATTCTGCGTAGCATAAAGATGAGAGTGAAGTCTATAAAAACCGACACAGCAAGGAACGTTTCAACGACTTATAAAAACGAGAATAGAGGATTTGGAAATTAGAGAAAGAATTGAGCCAATCTTGGATAATATGATACCAGAATCAGCAAAACTAAAGAGGAACAGGTGTCACTCGATAGCCGGTATCAACACACTCAGTTAACTCTATAAATTTACAAATACGAAGCCAGTATTTGTAGTTGTTCAAAGTCTGTAAAAATTATATCAATCATAATAAGTACTCCTCATGCTATCCCCTGTCTTTATAAAAGCCAGATCAGGACGAAAATGGAGTACCGTTGCCACATTTGGTCAGGAGCTGCCCAGGCCCCGCTTTTCCAGTCTTGATAGGAGAAGAATTATTTTCTGTCTACCAACCTCTCTCTCAAAGGCAGGATGTGGCAAGTCTCTCTCGCTACTACCATGGAAAGTGCTCGGATGAACTGCATCTCTTGGTTCCACGAGGTCAGACCTTAACGGCTAGAATCCACCATGTCACTTACGTAGTAGGAGACCAACTACATTCTCTCCGGATTTCATCGGCGAGAAGTAGGTTCCACTTATCAGCTTCTTCCCGCGAACCACTGTCCTATGGAACAGACTCCCGAGAGGATGTTTCCCCGACCACTACAATCTTAACCTGTTCAAGTCTCGAGGCAACAGTTATCTTTTTCTCCTATTCATATAAATTTCCCATTATTGTAACCCTCTTCCTCGACTGGCTTCCGAGACCTGTACAGGTTGAACATTACTGTAAAAAAAAAAACAAAAAAAAAAAACAAATACATATTCTTTGTTTCTTTTATATGGTAGTCCTGGGTATGATGATGATAAACTACATCCGGGCCCGCAGCAAGACCTTTGATCGGGAGATTGGCGTGGAATCACCTCTGAATTGCTGTTGCTCCTAGGTCGATCATGACCCAGTTAGGATCCAAGTTATGGATTGATAGTGTATCCCCAAAAAATACGAAAGTATAACAATACATTTTATAGTAATAATTCAAACAATACATTTTTATATAAAATAAATCACCAACAATACATATTTATAGTAGAAATACCAATAATACATATTTATAGTAGAATTTCCAATAATAAATCTTATAGAGAAATGACCAACAATACATTTTACCTGGAGATAATATATCAGCCTCTATGTGCTATTTAATGCGAATCTAAATATCTCGAAGTCACAACCACAAAACAAAGCTCGAAATATTTAGATTTCGGCCTTAAATAACCCATAGAGATTGATATGCTGCAAAATCAATCAAGCAAACAACCAACATGAAAGAAAACTTTCAGGAGATTAATCCATATAAAATCATAAAAATTAAAAACTTATAAAATTATAAAAACTTATGAAATTATAAAAAACTTATAAAATTATAAAAAACTTATAAAATTATATAAATTATATAAAATTATATAAAAATGATGATAAATTATATTAATTATATTAATTAAATTATATTTTTGAATATTTATTTAATATATGAATTATATTAATTAAAAAATGATGATAAATATATATAAATTATATAAAATTATATAAAAATTTATAAACTTATAAAATTATAAAAACTTTTAAAATTAAAAACTTATAAAATTATAAAACTTTTCAGGAGATTAATTATAAAATCCTATAATTTCTTAAAGAAATCAAACTGTATTCCAAAATATAACTTTAAAAAAAAACAGACTACAACTTAAAACATATATCACCCCCTCTTGTAATTATGTCCACACAAAAATATATATGTACAAAGGCTGAGTACAATCTATCATGTATTCACTTGTGAAAGCAAAATAACCTATCACATTTTTATTACTTCACAGCACACAAGAAAATTAAATTTCATCATTAAATGATGCATAAGTTGATATGCGGTTAAACAAATCAATCATCAATAATATGCTTTGCCCTTTCTGGACAAGCTTACGGCCATTTCACGTTAAAACATCGGTTCTCGTGTGATCACTGAAGTTAAGCAACATTGTGTCCGGTTAGTGCCTAAATGGATGACCGCTTTTGAATATCAAGTGTTGTCAGCTTCGATGGTAACGTAATGGAAAAGGGCTTGGAATTGAAAATCAGATATCGGAGTTCCCACTCCAGTCGAGGTAGTTATATTCACTTACTCGCAAATATCCTTGCGAAAGGCATGAATCCACCTGTTCTCCGCTACAGCTATGTGTTAATTAGTGGTTGTATCAGTATATAATTTTTATCTATAAAATAACATTCTTACAATCTATACATATTTTCTAGTGTTAAATAACCTGCAAAATGTTGATAAACCGTAAAAAATATCAATATTTCTGGACGTGGGCTATCATGGCTCTGTAGAACTAGCTATTTTTGTTACTCTAATTACCTTTTCACTTTTTACCATCCCTCTTTGTCGCTATTCCGCCATGGTTATGTTTCTATTTCATTTGCCTTGTTTTTCAAGGCGTGGACGATTATGTCTCTTCAATTTACTTATTTACTTTTTTGTGCGAAGTAACTTCTTACTCTTTATCATTCATCTTTTCACTTATTTAATCATTTACTCACAGTTTGATACTCGGTTATTCACTGCTTCTCTTTCCTTCACTGAGAGACTGAAATTCTCCTCCTTTTTCCATTGTCTCTTAGAATTTGGTTTCTTTATTTTGTTTAGCTACATATCAACTTCTATAGACTATTTAATACCGAAATCTAAACCTTTCGAACGCAATTTTATGGTTTTAACTAAATATATTTTGAACACAATTTGTATGCCATGGACTACAGATAAAACTTATTGGTGGTAATTTTATTATAATAGGTAGTGATAGTAATTGTACAATAAAAAAAGGTATTGTTGAAATTTTTTATATGAAAATGTATTGATGGTATTTTTAATATGAAAATATATTTTTCTACTTTCATAGTGTTTTGTTTTTGTTTGGGGATTCCCTATTTGCCAGTATCTGGGACCGTAGCAAGTAATACCACATCGAGTCAGGGTGGATCTGGGATCAACAGCAATTAAGAGGTTGTTCCACGCTTCTCAAAATCTCCAATCTCCCGATCAGATATTTTGCTTTTGGATATAGTTTATCGTCATAACCATTGCGTCCAGAAATCCCCGCTTATAATTATATTACCAGTCGTTGAATTAGCATAATAGATTTTCTTAAAGAAGCATTTAAATGATGAGACTGTATAGCCATGCATAACCGCATTAATTAACACCATTCGCATAAGAACACATAATGTTTTACAGTTCGAATTCCTTATATAAATCAATTGACCCAATAAATGATTCGTAATCTTTTCTTCATCAGGTTGAAGATGTTTCAGCATCTGTTACTATTATTACAATAAATTGCCCGTACAAGATGACCTCAAAATGTTTAGCTCAGAATTCTGAGTTAGGCCTATACCTACCGTATAGGTCGACCACAAAATGCACGGCAGGCTAACAGTAGATCAAAAATTAGGCCTAAGGCTAAATTAAATTAGATAAGTGTTATAGATTCCGGGTTGAAATCCGGTACCAATAAATAACAAACACCAGGAATGAATATATAAAAATAATGTATTAACGTAATAATACAAACTGGTAAAGCAGGTTAGTAGTTCCAGGAAGACGGGTTAGTAGCAAAATATATATATACAGTCTTTGGTATTGAAGTATCGCTGTATGACTTCTTACTGAGTCTACGTGCTCGCTCACTGTGACTCCTACAACGCTGTTACCTCACCCCTCACTCTTCCGATTACCTACAACCTTTTACTCTGTCACTCTCGACTCGACTCGACTCCTCGGTCTTGCTCTCTCGGGTTTTCACGTAGCCGTAGTATATGTATATACTGAGTGAGTCCATTTGGGTAAAAAGGGGTTGACTCCTCAACACCACCCTCCTTAGATCCCTTTTGTGGGGGGGAGTTAGTATTTTTCTCTTATGGTCGATAATCAGAGGTTCGGTAAATTTTCTCTTCCTGTTTGTTCTTCTAGTTTCTGTGTCTTCCTGTGGTCTTTGAATCTCAAAAGCTTCAAAGATCGCCTCCATTGAATCGTCATTTTCAGCGGGTGACGAGCTTGGCTCTTCAACCCGTCTTTTTTGTATTTGGTCAATATGTCTTCTGTGGGTAAATTTTTCACCTTGTACTGTGTACATCACATTCCCTAGTCTGTTAATTATTCTGCCAGGCTCTCAATAAATAAGCAATATTGTTCCTGAACATCCTAAAGTAAACCCGTTCTCCTGGTTTAATTGATCTCTTGAGTACTATAGGTGTATGCTGGTGTATATTCTTGTCAGGCAATAATTTATCAAACACAGACCGTATTTTCCGGGCAAACATCACTTCCGCTGGTGAAAGACCAGATGGTGTATTCCCGTTAGGTGTTATTCTGTATACTTGGAGAAACTGTTGAATAGCTTTTTCTGTCGGTACATCCCCTGCTTTTTTTAGAGCTCCCTTTAGTGTGTCTACGAATCTTTCAGCCTGCCCGTTTGACCGTGGGTGATAGGGAGCTATCTTAATGTGCTTCACTTGGTACGTCTCACAGAATTCTTTTAAATCGCTGGAGGTAAATTGTGTGCCGTTATCAGTTACCAAGCAATCCACGACACCGAATCTCGTGAATAATTCATGTAGGCAGTTTATAGTATTCTCCGTCGTCGGGTGTTTGAATCTGAAGACTTCTGGCCATTTACTGAAACTATCTACTGTTATAAAGTAGTAGTAACGCCCTATAGGTCCCGCATAATCCACATGTATTCTGGACCAGGGTCTGTTCATTTTAGGCCATGGTTTCTGTATAGAAATTGGTGCTTTGGCCGCAGCAGTACAGCCTTTACATCTTTCCACCATTTGCATGATATCATTGTCCATGTTAGGCCAGTAGACGAAACTTCTCATAAGTGCTTTCATCCGTTTTTTTCCTGGATGTCCTAAGTGAAAATCCTTCAAAATCCGCCTTTGTAACGATTTTGGTATCACTACTCTTTCGTTATATAGCAATATGTGGTCACAAATTGTGAAGCTGGCTGCTAAATTCGTTTCCTTTTCTTCTATTTTTTCTTGGCATTCTGAATAAATTCATCCTTTTCCGCTTCCCTTCTTATCTCTAGCAGGGTCACAAGTAGTTCCTTTACTGTGTTGCATAACACTTTACTGATTTTATCTTCGGCTTGCAACGCCGCTATTACTGAATCTTTCAGCGGTTCGCCTTTTGCAGGTATTAATCGCGATAGTCCATCAGCGTGCCCAATTTTCTTCCATAGTAAGAACTCAAATTTGAAATTGTAGTTCAGTAACATAGTTACCCATCTTAGTAGTCTATTTGCTGTATAGATTGGTAGTCCTTTTCTTGATCCAAAAATCGTAAGAAGAGGTTTGTGTTTCGTTTGAAGCGTAAACTCTCTCCCATATATATATATATATCTGTGGAACAGAGTTATGGCTAATATAATGCCTCGTGCTTCCTTTTCAATCTGCGAGTAGTTCCTCTCCGCAGGTAATAATGATCTCGATGCGTGAGCTATGGGTTTCTTCGTGCCATCACACATCTTGTGTAGAATGCAAGCTCCTACTCCGTGAGAGCTCGCGTCACTCATGATAACAATTTCTAGTTTTGGATCGAAATGAGTTAGTGCTAGTTCCGACGTTATTTTTTGTATAATCTCCTTAAACATTTTCTGACATTCTTTTGTCCAATTCCATTTATTCACTATTTTTTTGTAATTCGTTGAGGGGGGTGCTCAATCTGTGCATATTTTCGACGAATTCGCTGTAGTAATTTGCTAGGCCAAGAAAACTTTGTAATTCCGCGACATTTTTTGGTTCAGGCATATTTTTTATTGCGAATGTCCTGTCTGGGCCCGGCTTTCTACCATTTTCATTAATTATATGCCCTAAGTATTTGATTTCATTAAAGAAAAAATCACATTTTTTTCTTTTACTTTAAACCCAAAGTCCTGAAGTCTTTTGAAATCTTCCTTTCCTCTTCAACATCGTCGCTTTTAATTAGGATGTCGTCCAAGTAAAGCGGTCGCAAAATTCTGGCCCGTGAGCACTGTATCCATCGTTTGTTGAAAAATTGCCGTGCAACTTTTACCCCAAATGGTAGTTTGTTGAATTTGTACAGCCCTTTGTGCATATTAATGCATAGAATTTTCGTACTCTCTCCTTGTACTGGGATCTGCAGATAAGCCTCACTTAAATCTATTTCGGAAAATATCTTGCCGCCGTTAAACTTGGTGAATATTTCCTCCGGGCTTGGTAATGGGTAATGATGGTCTTTTATAACCTTGTTTAACCCCGTTGAGAAATCTGCGCATACACGGATTTCCCCTGATTTCTTATTTGCATAGACTACTGGTTCTGCCCATTCACTAAACTCTATTTTTGACAGGATCCCAGTTTGTTCAAGTCTCTCTAATTCTTTGTCGATTTTTTCTATAGTGGCAAACGATACGTTTTTCTTCTTTTTAAATACTGGTTGGACGTTTTCTTTTAATTCAATTCTAGCTGTAAATTTGTTACACCGACCCAACCCGCTTAAAAATACTTCTGGAAAATGATTATGTAATCCTTCCTTTAGTTTTATAACTTCTGATGATTCGCACTTTATCTTTTTACAAAAAGAGCTGACAGGTAAATCCCATACGTCGAACTTCTGCATCCAGTCCGTGGCAACCAGATTTTCTGTATCCTTCATTACGAATATTTTGAGTATTCTTGTTTTCCCGTAAAATTTTACATTTAGGATTACTTCTCCTTCGAATTTTATACGCTTTCCTGCAACAGACTTAGCAATTTTCTGTGTGTGTAACATTGTTGGTCTATTAAGCTTTCTCCATGTTTGTAGATTAATTATCGTCAGATCTGAACCTGTGTCAAGTTGTAATTTTATCTTTTTATTTAAGATTTCAAGTTCCACATATTTCCTTATGTTAGTATTGTCTTCATCATGAATCCTAGTAGCTCTCATCCTACTAGTAAATTTTTATGTTCCTACATTAGGATGCCTTGTGACCCATTTTTCCACACGCAAGACAGTTTTCATATTT